GCCTTGCCAAGTTGCTGAGGCTGGCCTCAAACTTGTGATCCTCCTGCCTCAGCCTTCCAAATTGCTGGCAAGAATTTAAAAAGAAAAAAATTCACCCTTGTCTAGGGTTTAGGCTTACCTTTCCTCTCTGAGCTGAAGCCATCAGGAGTGTGGAGCTGCTTAACTTACCAGTGCAATCCCAGGCTAAGAATGGGGCAGACAGCAGAGAGGGCTGAGCCTGCCCCCCAACGAGGCCTGGAAGCAGACACCGCGCCCTGGTCTGTGAGAGCACGTGCACTGGGGATGGACTGGTGCCAGGCAGGGCCTCTGCCTTACCATCGCCCCGCAGACCTGCCTGGGAAGGCCCAAGTGAGGAGTGCAGAGGTCCCTGTGACAAGTGGCCACCCCAATATACCTATACTGTCCCTTGAGGGCTAACCAGGGAATGTGGGCCTAGGATCAGGTCGCTCTCCCAGAGAAGCCTCTGGTCGTGGGACCTTGATTCTCAGGCTGGGGCAGTATGGACCTAGCTGGATGTGATGTCCACTAGCCTCACTGCTACCAAGCCAGAAGGGGAGTGAGCAGTCATGTGATGGTCTCAGTTAATACCCCATCTTGCAGCTGGCCACACCAATGAACTAAAATGAGTCCGATGTGCTGGTGCTGGGATTCCACCCACTGCTGGCCTGGGAACCAACATGCTGGGCCTTCCTGAAGCACCGTCCATAAATCCGGCCTCCAGGTGTCCCTACAGTCATCTCGAGAACCAAAGATGTTCGTAAAGAATGCTTCAGCAAATTCCTGGTGGCTACAGAATCCGCAGGACCATTGGAAGATTGGGGTGAAGGTGTCACTCCCATTCACTAGATAAGCTGGCTCTTAAACTTGCCGGGCATCTGCAGGTGGATCCTGCCTGGCGCTGCCCAGTTCTGGGAGAACAGGTGAGGATAGCAGAAGTCCCCGTTTCAGAGGAGCACAGTGACAAGTTCATTAGCAGCTTGAGCATAACTGGCAGAGCCAAGGGGCAGCACTGGATGCAGGGGAACAGCCTGGACACAGAGTCAGCCAGACTTGGACGAGCATTTGGCTCTGCCTCTGGGAGACCCGATGTACTCCTCTGCAGGCCTTTGCATCTCTGAAATGCTCATGGGGCTGTTGGAAGCATTCCGACAGCCAGGCAAAGTGCGCATAGCTAATGCCAGTGATTTGGGAGGCTGAGGCAGGAGGATTCATAGTTCATGGCCAGCCTTGGGAACTTAGACCCTGTCTCAAAATAAAAGGAACTGGGGCTGTAGCTCAGTGGGAAAGTGCCCCTGAGTTCAGTCCCCAGTACCAAAGGAAAAAGTGCCAGAACAGCAGTTTACAGGGAGCTGGGGACATAGTGCTTAAGAGACACGTGAGCCTGGGTCAAAGGGGCCGCCAGGAGCTCTAGGGGAGGTGGAAGGGAGGAGGGCTGGGTTCCAGAGGCTGGGCCTGCGCCCAGAGACAGAGATGCAGTAAAAACAGCAGGAACAGCTCTGCTGGGGGGCCTGAGACCAAAGAGGCTCTCGAACTGCAGACCACCAGGCCCGGGAGACAGCAGGAGCACTAGACAGTATGTGGGCCCCAAGGAAGTGGGGGTAGGGCTGGTGAGGGGCTGGTGAGGGGCTGGCTGGGCTCCAGCAGGGTCTCCTGGACACGCAGTGCCACCCGACCAGTTTCTCAGGAGCTACCACTGTTGATGGGGTGCATGTCCCCCAGAGGCCATCACGCTGACTCCGCAGCCTCGCTGGCTGGGGAAAGGGACTTTCCTATCACATTTCATTTTCCAGTTGAGGGAGCCCATTGGGTCCCCGCAGAGGAAGGAGCTGATTGACACAGGGACATCTAAAACTCCTTTATTACCCTGAGCGTAACAAACAGAACACAGTCACAGTGTAAAAACAGCAGGCCACGACACAAAGTGCGCACCAGGGACACATTCCTTTCTGCAGCTAGTTACTTGGAAAAAGCCCAGTTATGATTGTAAAAATTTTATTCTCTTTAATAACAATAATAATTCCACTAAAATTATACAAAGTACATTCAATACTTAAGGGTGGCTGGGGGAGGGGAGAGGAAGCCTGTTTGGCCTGGAAGCATCATCTGTCGACTCCCACGAGGAAGCCCAGCTGGGCCCGGGAAGCTGGGGGTGGAGGTCCGGTTGTAAAAAATAAAAATGTGGATCCGTTAAAAAAAGACCACCCACAAGGAAGCAGGGTGAGCGTGCATGTTCCTGGGGAGGGGCGGCGGCATGGGCATGCTGCTGCTGGGCCTTGGGCTCAGGCGGGCTCCGAGTTGGTGGGGGGCAGGTTTTTATGCTTGAAATACTGCACAACTTGCTGGGGCAGCTCTGCCAGCACAGCTTTGGCCAAAGTCTCTTTTGCTGCCTGCAGGGTGGAGGGCGGGGCAGGGAGGAGAGAATAGGATTAATGAGCAATTCCGGAGGGGCGCCATGCCCAGGAGCTGTGACCACAGGTGTCCATGGAGGACTGACAGGGCTGAGAGCCAGGGTGGTCTGAGGCCAGTGTCCCTCGTACCAGCCCACTTGATGTCACCATTAGCTGTTCTTTTATACTGGGGATTGAACTCGGGGACACTAGACCACTGAGCCACATCCCCAGCTCTATTTTGTATTTTATTTAGAGACAGGGTCTCACTGAGTTGCTCAGAGCCTCACTGTTACTGAGGCTGGCTTTGAATTCACGATCCTCCTGTTTCAGTCTGCAGAGCTGCTGGGATTAGAGGTGTGAGGCTTGGGAGGCTGAGACAGGAGGATTGCAAATTCAAAGCCAGCCTCAGAAATAGTAAGACACTCAGCAACTCAGTGATACCCTGTCTCTAAATACAATGCAAAATAGGGCTGGGGATGGGGCTCAGTGGTTGAGTGCCCCTGAGTTCAAACTCTGGTACCAAAAAAAAGAAAAGTCTGATTCTTCCCGTGAGCACTGGAGGTGCCTGGAGTAACATTTGAGGACACACATGCCTGTGGATGTCTGTAGGGGGAGAGTGGGGTGCGCAGCCTCCGCATCTGGCCAGCTTGTCCTGAGCACCTCCCTGGCTGGTTCACTGCTGAAGGCCAGCCACAGGCCAGGCACGGGAGGGTGCTCGGGCACTGTCCTGCACAGGAGCTGGTGACAGATGTCCAGCATTCATCCTCAGGAAACTAATGCCCCAGAGGAAGGGACACCATCCCAGGCAAGTCCAGAGGACATGGGGCCAAGAAGTAAGGACCACGGGTCACTTCGTGCTGAGGCTGGCTGCCAGGATCTGAGCCACAGCACCCAGAGAGGCTCTCAGTGGAGGCACCGAGGCTCAGGAAGATGAGGGCTTCCCAGGACCACAGAGTGAGCCTCTGGTCAAGTGAGGGCTGGGCCCAGGCTGGCCATGCAGGGTGACATTGAGAGACTCTTCCTCTGGGGCTCCCCAGGGGCCCTGCTACTGACTCCGGCCTCCTTGTGGGCTGACCTGGGTTCACTCTCTGCAGATAGGACCAGAGCCACCTCCAGAAACAAGGCAGGCTCCAGCCCCCCTTAGGATGGAAGGGCCTCTTCCATCTCTCCATGGGGCTGGCTAAGGTACGTACAGTCAGCAGGAAGCCCCTCACGTCCTCTGGCCCCACGAGAATAACTCCCGTTATCCGGTGGCTCAGATGGAGGGCAGGTCCTTTGGGACACCCTGCCTGGAGCCCAATTCTGGACCAGGTGCCACTCCATGTTCCACCAACTGGTGGGACAGTGCTGGCCCTGTCACAGCCTTGTCTGTAAGTATGGCCTGGGGCGAGGCCTGGCAGCATGGCCCTGAGGATGTCCAGGGAGCTGAGTGGGGAAGCATGTAGACTTTCACCCTTGACCGTGCACAGTGGTCACCAGGGCCCTGGGGCCTCCCCTCCAAACCTGGGCCCCCACTCACGTGGCGGAACTCCCGAAAGGGCACAAATTGCACGATGTCCCGGGCTGCCTCCTCGCCCGTGTGGGAGCGCAGCCTGCGGCTGTCCCCGTCCAGGAACTCCATGGCGGCAAAGTCAGCGTTGCCCACGCCCACGATGATGATGGACATGGGCAGCTTGGACGCCTGCACCACGGCATGCCGGGTCTCCTCCATGTCGCTGATGACACCATCCGTGATGATGAGGAGGATGAAGTACTGCTGCAGGGAGGGGTCGGCGGGCTCAGCAAAGCCCTCGCCCTTCCCCCAGCTCCCCAAACCTTCATGTGCCTGGGCTTCCTGCAGAGGGGCAGCCAAGGACGTCCCCAGCACCTCCCCACCTCCCGGCCTGATGGGCTCCTCTGAAGGTCACAGCCACTCTCCTCTCACCCCCGGGCTGTCTCGGGCTCCCCTGTTCTGGTCTCTGAGAGCCGGGGTCAAGGCCGCTGTGCTCAATGGTAGGACTGAAGGCACCCGGCTTAAACTGCTGTGCCTCAAGTTTCCTCATCTGAAGGTAGGAGTTGCCCTTGAGGAGAGATCACGCCTGGCACACGGAGGCTTATTTTGACTGGCAGACTTTGGGGCCTCCCCTCCTGTGCTCCTCCGGGGCAGCAGTACCCCCTTCCTTCCCTACTCAGCAAGGTCCCAGACGCTCTGCAGGGGCTGGGCGAGGGCATCTGGGCCAGCACTCCGGGAGTGTGGGATTCTGCTGGTGAACAAGTAAGTGGCTTTGGGTCACATCCAGAGTCGGTGTTGAAATCAGAACGGGCAGTGGCCTTTCCAGGTTGTGAACTGTGCCCAGGAGGCACCCCGTTCGGTGCTGCGCCTACAGCACCCTCTAATAGCTCAACAGAGAGGCCGGGGCTCAGCTCTCAGAGGCGCTGTCCCCGTCCCACGGTACAGCTCGCTTAATTTTTACTGTTCTCCTCAATTTGTGGCCAATGATGCTGATCTTTCACATGCAGTGAGATATGTTTCTTACGATTTATCTCAGCAAAAGAAAAACACTGAATAATTAATGTGGGTGATCCAAGGCAGAACACTGGCTGGACGGTGGGGAGGGTGAAGTTCAGGAAGGCGCGGGGTGATCCCACAGGTGGGCCCCGATGCCACACTGGCCACAGCAACCCAGCTCTGGCCACAGCACCCTCTGCCCCTCTCAACGGAACTGTTTTCCCTACCCATAAAACAAGCAGGTAGCTATTCTGGTCCTAACATTCTTTCTTGGGGACTCCGCCTTCTAGTCTGACTCTTTTGATTGCCAGAGAAAACTGGGGCCCATACTAGTCAAGGTCATGGAGCTAAGGACGGCAGAGCGACCCCAGGTCAGCACTGGGCCACCTTCTCATCCAGCAAAGCTGTTACATGGGAAATATAAGCTCAGCCCTCTAGGATGCTTTGTTCCTCTTTCTGTCCCCCAAGTACAAACTGTGGAGGGAAGGAGCGGGGTGAGCGATGGGCTGCCATTCCCACCCCCCTCTCCAGGCAGCTGTAGTCCAGCTCCAGCGCTGTCTCTTTAAGAGAACAATCCCTGGCTGGGGATACCTGTTGCCATGGAGATGGCAGCCTGAATCCCGCAGTGGAGGGCTGCTGCGCCCGCCCCTCCTCGCTGGCTTTGGTGGGGGTGCGACGTGAACCCATCTAGACCCCATCTCCCAAGCTCACCATCGTTCCAGGTCCCTTCTTTTAGGTGACCCTTGAGTCCACTTTAATCCCACCACAAATAACTCAGGGCAATATTTCTGGGGCACCCAGGTTGGCAGGAGGGAGGGCACCAAGAGGCTTGGCCTCCTCGGCCCGTCATGGGGTGGGACCCGCTTCCGATCCACATCCAGCTCAGACACCTGCCCGACCCCAGGTGGCCCCCTGGCGCTCTGGCCAGTGCAGTCAGGACTGTGCTGAGGGAGGCCGTCCCCTGGGCCTGCGGCCTTCCTGCAGGGAGGTGAGCGCACACAGGGGGACCAAGGGATGGGTGAGGAGCCCTGAACACAGTGACAGCTTGGCAGGTCCTCCCTGTCACCCTCCCATTGTGAGTTCTGAGTCAGAGCCGAGAAGTGCAGCTCGGGGGGCTAGGTGACGTGTTAAGGCCCGTCACCAGGAACTGGCACCGTCCGGGTTCCCATCCAGAGCTGCTGGCTCCAAAGCTGGAGCTTTCCCAGGTGTCCTGCTCCACCACTTGCTGGCACGGTGGCCTGTCACTGTAGGGCCACCTTCACTTTCCTGGGGTTGGAGGACCTGAATGGCCAGAGCAGCAGGGAGCAGGGCCCAGAACCCCAGCCCTGGGCGTGACCCTCACTCCTGAGTGCCAGTCCCCACAGTGTGTGTCTGGGCCTGGTGCTGGCAGACTGGCCTGGCTTTGGTGGTGAAGTGTAGCCAACAGGCCCTGGACTTGTCACCCAGTCTAGGCAGGGCCAGGGGGGCTGTCCTGGAGCCTCAAAGATCCATCACAACCCAGGAGCTCACGGATCTAGGGGAAGGTGGGAGGTGGCCGTGGAGGGACTCCAGCAGGAGCATGGGAAGGGGCCACCTGCTACCTCAGGGTCAGTCACCTCCATACCCTCCTAGGTTAGTTCCCTCTGCCTGGCACGGTCCTCAGACACAGCTTCAAGACCCACCTGAGTGCCAGCCCTCGGTCCCAGGCAGATGGGAACCCTGCTTCCACCGCCAGCAATGACCCCGGGGTAGTGGTGGGGTTCTGCACACTCATCCCTCCCCTCACCCCAGGGCGTCTCCGGGGGCCCTGCACGACTCCCCATCTCACACAGGCCTGGGCCTTGTCTAGGTCTCAGAGACAGCCAGTCAGCACCAGGCCAAACCCCTAAACCCGAACCCCCAGCCCATTTCCGGGATGGAGTATCTGCTTCCTCCTGGGGGATCTTCAGAGTTCCCGGCTCTAAGTAGCTGTTCCCCTAATGCAGTTTCACGTGATTTGATTTATACAAAACAAAATCTTGACCATGGAGTTCCACGCAGGGTCTGCAGAGACCTGCGCTTGCTCTTCAGCTTACACTGAGAAGCCGGCAGCCCAGGACCCTGGGATGGAAGTGCAGGGAATTCCCAGGCTCTTCCTGGCCCCTCCTTCACTGGGACACTAGATGCCCAGGCCACCAACCAGGACATGAACAACAAGGCCCAGGTCTTAGGAGCCAAAGCAGAGGGAGGGATGCAGAGTTAGCTAGGAGTCCCTGTGCCCCTTCCCCACCCGCCCAAACTCTCTGGTGGCTCCTCACTGCCCTCGGGAGAAAATCCAGGCTCCCTGGTGGCCCCCAGGCCCTGGGGGAGTTGGCCTTCCTTTACAGTCTCACCCACCTCACACAGTCCGCTTGCCCCACAGGCCTTCCATCAGTTACACCCACAGACCACGCCGGGGCCTCTGCACACACTGCCCCCTCTGCCTGGACACCTGTCCTCTAGGAGGCTGACGATCTCCTGCACTCCCCAAGTCTCAGTTTGGATGACAGGCTTCCAGGAAGACTTCCCCGAGCCCTCTGTCTGGGTTGGGGGCCATCTTCCTGGTGCCGTCTTGCATTAGCACAGGCCAGGTGGCACCGTGTCCCCGCTGCTCCCCCAGCCCAGGCCCTCACTCACAGGCAGACCTGGCTCACGGTGGCCTTCCTGTGCTGCACAGAAGCACTGGGCAAGGAGCAGGAGTGAACGGACGCCAGGCCTGCTGGAGATGCCCCACTCGGTTTCCCTGGCGTGGGTGTGCACGTGTGGGCCTGTGCCTAGGGACAGGGGGGCCACGCGGCACCATGGTTCCTCCAAACCAAAAAGCGGCTGAACAAAAGCACCAGACAACCCCCAAATTACTTCCCGTAGCTGAGGGCTCAACTGTGTGTGGCATCGCTGAAAGCTAGCCAGAGAGGTGTCCTCAGAAGATCTGGCCACCAGGCAAGCTCTGGGCCCAACGAGTGACGTGCCATCTAGCCAAACCCTCAGGATGACTCTGGAGGGCAGGTCCCAAGGTACAGGAAGGAACGCTCAAGTTCACAGAGCTTAGGCTGCCACCCTGGTCACACAGCAGGTGGTGGGGAGGAGGCCAGGTCCGTGGGCCTCCTTTGCTGCACCCTGTGAGCAGGGAAAACCTGAGGCAGGGGCAGGGAGGGCTGTGTCCACTTCTGGGCCTGAGTGGGAGGGGCAGGTGGAGGCCCCTGGCCCCGCTCTCACAGCCCAGATAGGCTGAGAGACCATTAGAGGTCACACAGCGAGGGTGGGTGACAGAGTTTGTCACCACAAGGGGAAGAAGTCAGGAGGAAGCCAGGAACAACAAAAAGGATCGTGCTGCCCGGGGTCAGGACCAAGTGCGGGGACCTCGAGACCTTTGGTGACAGGAAAGGCCAAGTGCTCCTCCCCAGGGGGCCCTTAGCAGTTGTTGCTGGCCTTCCCTGAGGCCCCGGCTTCCCTCCAAACCTGGGGTCCATCCAGGCAAGCACTATGCTGGGCAGAGTGGCCCTGGGTGACCCCAGGACTGGCATCAGGTCCTGCCATAATGGTCCCTTGGAATCTCCAGGCTTGGGACTCAGGGAGCTAGAGCCTGGAGGGTGGGGAGGAGCCAGGAGGGGACCAGATACGCAGATGCCCAGGATGGCCATTCGCCGTATATTCCAGATGCCACACGGCAGCCTTGGCAGCCTCCGGTCAGGCTCTGCCTCATCACTGTCAGGAAGGGCCATGTGGTTCTGCAGCCCTCACAGAAAAGCAGGCCTGGCTCTACTTGAACCGAGGTGGTCAAGGGTCAGCTTCAGGGCCTTCGGGACCACCGTCTCCTAGTCACCATCTGTCCTGGGAGGACAAGCCCCCTCCAATGGGGAGGCATCGCCCCTCGATCACAGCCCTGCTTCCTGCTCAGCACAAGGGAAGCTGCTCTCTGGGATTCAGAGCCAAGGGCGGGTGGAGCCAGTCCCAAGGGCCAGGAAAGGCAGGAAGTGCCAACCCCAGCCTGGTCTGCCCATTGTCGCCAGGCACCTGGCCGCCAGCTGCCCCAGCCTGGCATGCACAGGCCGGGGGCTGCCTACTTACCGCGGCCGTCTGCTGCTGCGTCGCTTGGGCTGCAAACCTGGCCACGTGGTTGACGATGGGGGAGAAATTGGTGGGACCATAGAAGCGGATGTGGGGCAGGCAGGCCGAGTACGCCTGGGCGATGCCATCCACGCCTGCTTCAGAGAGGGTCGGGTCAGCCGATGCCCTGCCTGCAGCCGCTGCTCACGGGGCCCATTCTGTTCTCACCTACAATGTCCCTGTGTGGCCAGTGTGGGCCCCTGAGACGCTCCTGAGGTCAGGGCCAGGGGTACAGAGCAAGGGTGGAGTCAGGCCGTGTTTGAATCCTGCTGTGGGGCCTGGGCGAGCTGTCCACGCTGCCTGAGCCTGTGCCTGGCCTCTCAATGGGACAGATAAGGTGAAGCCACCTGGAGGTCCATTCTGGACCCTGTTTGGCAGCTGCTCGAGGGAGCAGGGACAGGGTTGCCTGCATAGCCCTGCACACAGTAGGTGCTCTGGAAACAGCTGCTGTTATCCCACCACCCTGTGCTCTTGCCCAGAGCCTCTGACCAGGGATGCAGTGGGCCAACGTGAACCTGGACGAATGCCTCTGGAGACCCACCCCCAGGCCAGTCAGCCCCCAGCAGGAGCACAGGGCCACACTCCTGGCCAACGGATGCCCGTGGTTTCTGAGACAAGAGTTGGTGACTAGATGGGTGGCCCTTCTGGGTACAAAGCTGGACTGGCTTTGGGGACACCCAGGGAGGGTAGATGCTCTGCCCGAACTGAATGCTAGGCCAGATCTCATGATGGTGAGGGCCACCACCTTCTCTCCAGTCCCTCTCTTCCTTTCATGGATTCCAGAACTGTCCCTGGGAAGCTCAGAACCCCTCGCGGGCCCGGGTGGTAAGTGCAGATTCTGCCCTCGCTGACTCACCCTCGGCTCCACTTAGTCCTGGGGGCCTGAGAGCAGGCGGGGCCTCCCAGCAGGGCAGGAGGGAGGAGGAGGGAGAGCAGAGGTCAGCAGACCCCTGGCCCCCTCCTGCTCTACACAGCTCCCTGCCACTGACCGTCCAGGGAAGTGAACCAAGGGGGCAAAAGCCCAGAGAGGTGCAGCGACCTCCCCAAGACCACCAGCAGGAAAGGACAGCAGCGGACTCAACCCGTGACTACCTGGCTCCAAACCAGTTCTTCGGGGCCTGTCATTTCTAGCAACGTGATGGGGCAGGGATAGAAGAAAGGGACGGAGACTGGCTCCCTGCTGCCTCCCCCTGCCGAGGGTGCAATGGCTGCGGCAGGGCAGGTGGGTTCACACTCACCTGAGCAGAAGGGGTTGGTGGGGTTGAAGTTGATGGCGAACTCGTGGGAGACCTGCAAGGCAGAGCACGCTGAGCAGGCCCGCCCGGCCCAGCTCCTCCAGGGTCAAGGCTACTGACCCTGCCCTCACATCAGCCTCTACCTCCACCGCAGGCCTGGCCCGCAGGGGCCACCCCGTCACTCCACAGGGACAGCTGAGACCTTCCACGTGACCCCAACCCCTTCTGAGGCCCAGGCTGCCTGTGCACCCACTCTGCTGAGTATCACTGACCCCGAGTAGGACAGCGGTACCCCTGAGGGCAGTGGGGTGGAGGCACTCTGGGAATGCCCCTTCATCACCGCTGCCACATGGGTGACATAATTAGAGTGCCACTTGAAGGTTTCTCTGAATGTCAGCAGTAAGCCAAGTGCTTGGGCTCCTGCCAGTGAGCCAACTGGGACTGGCCGACAAGTGCTCAGAGTGGCCCTGGGGACCAGGCAGTGTGACGGGGCTGGAGGAAGGTGGGGACTCCCAACTGGTGGTTCTCCCAGGGACTGGTCTGTTGTCTCTGTCACCAGTCCCAGTACCCCCAGCCTGGGTGGACCATCAAAAGCTGATCTCACACACTCCAGAGCCAACCCCTGTGTTTGCTTAGACCATTGGGTCAGGTCTCAGACCCATTCTGTTCAAGAACTGCACACCTACTGTATGCCAGGGCTGGGACACCATGGGAGAGAACCAAGTGCCTCACTGCCCCCTCAGGTAGCCTACTGGGTGCTGAGAGGAGAGCTGTCAGGCAAGGGCTCCCAGGGAGCAGAACCTCCAACTTAAGAAGCAGCAGAGGGAATCTGGGTGAGCTAAGGCCATGTGCAAAGGCCCTGAGGTAGGAAGGAAGGTTCACATGGCAGAGGCAAGGTAAGTTAGGAAAGAGAGAGGCCAAGGTGGCCAGGCCTGGCAGCCAAGAGGGAGGCGTATCTGCCCTTTCCTAGCCCCATTCCAGTGTCTCTCTTGCCACTGCCCGACACTGGCCTGGCTAAGCCCCAGCCTCCCTAGAGTCACCCCGTGACATTTCCAAGAAGGCTTTTGCTCAAGAAAACAGCTCATTCAGCCGAGTTCTCTGAAAGCTGGCTGTTGTCCTAGCAACAGGCTCGTGCTGGGCCTGGTGTGCAGCCTGCCCTGCCCCCCCCACCCCCAGCACCATCATGTGGGTCCCACAGGGTCCCACCTCACACTGGGCAGGGCCAGGAAAGCCACCTCTCCTGCTCTGGCCCCCAGCCACTCCCTGAGGGTCTGGTAAAAACCGTCCTGGGGACAGAGGACAGGAAACAACAGCTCATTCTGGAAACAGGATAAGGCACACCAGGGCAGACAAGAGGGGGCACCGGCAGACAGATGCATGGACGCAGGGGCCCTCTGCGCCTGTCCCCGAGAGGCTGCTCTTCTGGAGACCGTGGGTTCCGGGAATGTTCTGGAAGATCCATCTGCCCCCTGGGAACCCAGGCCCCTGCGGAGAAGGTGACCTGGGGCAAAGTCACATTAAGGCTCTGAGCCTTGGGTGTTCCCCAGTAAAAAGGGACAGTGTCTCACTGGAGAGCCCTCCTCATTGGCTTTGCCCTCTGGCCACCAAACACCCTTGTCCCAGTCCTGTGAGGCAGTGAGGACCTGCCCCCGCCCAGGGACCCGCTGTTCTCCTGCACCTCTCTCCTGGCTCCCTCCCAGCCCTGCACCTGCTGCTCCCTGGCCAGCCCAGCGGCTGCACTCCTGGGCCTTGGTGCCCCGCCCCGCCAGGTGTCCCCACCAGGATGCCCCTCCCTGCGGTCAGGGAAGCGGCTTCCTCCAGCCTCCCCTCACCAGCCTGCAGGCACCTCGGAATCGCTGGCCACTGCCTCCTCCGTGACCAGATGGGGAGTGACAGGCTGGCGAGCCCCATTGGCTTTCGGTAAGAATTAAATGAAGCTGACACAGCCGGGCTGTGTCCAGAACGTTCCAAGGCCTCGTTTTCTTCCAGTTCTAGAGTGAATACAGAGGCGCCTCCCACGGAGCTGCCCTCCTCATTATATTTTGAGGCAGGGTCTCACTAAGTGGCTGGCCTTGAACCTGTGACCCTCCTGCCTCAGCCTCCTAAGTAGCCGAGATGACTACTCCTGTCCTCAATGCCTTGGGCCCTCCCGGCCTTCGCTGTCCTGAGTGTGCTCCCAGCCAGCACCCCTGTCCCCCTGCCCAGCACCCCACCCCCGACCATTCCTGCCTCCTGTTGGCTTGGACTCGCCTCCTCCAGGGGCCTTCCCACGCCCAGGCTGGCCTGGGGCCCTCCTCTGGGCACCCGCAGCCCGTGCTGCCCCATCTCACACCCATGACGCTGCCTGTCGTTAGGGTTCCCAGATGGAACACAGGAGCCCGGGGACGCAGGAATTCCAGATAGACGGGGATGTTCTGGTGTAAGTGTGTCCCGCACAACGTCCAGCGCCACTTACACCCAGAAAGGCACTGTCGTTCCAAAAAGCTCCCACCTAACTGGGTGTCCAGTGTCTATGTGCTGAACCTGGCCACCCCATTTCCCTACTGGACATGGGCTTCAGGAAGCAGAGGCCACACGCACTGGCCCCCGTCATGGCCTCTATCAGCCTGAGGGTCAGGCCCGAGAAAGGCACATGGCCTGGGGTGATATCTGCGAGGCAGGGCCAAGGGTCCCCGCCCAGGGCTTCCCAAGCAGACCCCAGAGAGGCCCACGGCCCCACTGGGCCAGGGGACGCCAGGCCAGCTTCACTCACCTTCCAGTCTGGGGGCAGCTGGGCTCCGAATCCCAAAGCCGGGAACATCTTGTCACTAATCAGAGAGAGGAGAGGACAGACTGAGGACACGGGCGAGGACAGCAGCTCCGCCCGCCTGCCCTCCCCGGACCCCCGACCCAGGGTGCCACCCTGCCCTCCCTTCTCCAGGGGTAGAGAGCTGCACCGCCACCCCCAGCCGCCACCATGAGCAGGTGGCCTCGGCTTCCTGGGCTGTGCCTGTGGCCAACGCGCCCACAACAGCACGTCCAACCCCGGAGCCCAGGTGCAGCTTCTAGGTCCTCGAACCAAGACCCCAGGAGCCACACAGCCGACGTCACGCGGGGGCGGAACACGCCGGCCCCAGGCCTGACCTGCTCATGGCTGGGGAAGAGGCTCCCCAACCAGAGCCCTGACGGGCCACTCTGGGCCTTTTGTCACCTACCTGTCCCTCACCTCCCCAGCCCTGGCCACTGGTTCCTCAGACACACAGAGCGCTTTCTCCTGCCAGTGTCAGGGTGCTGTGCCCCCCGCTGAGTCACCTTTCCCCCGTCTATTCCCCCAGCCAACTCCTACTCACCCTTCAAGGCCCAATTAAATGGTCCCCTCTCTGTGGGCTTCCCTGACCCCCCACAATGCCTGTCCCTTGTGCTCCCAGAGCTTCTGCCCTGCATGGTGACCTAGACTCAGAATCCAGTGACTTCTCTCTTCCTCTTCTGAACTCCCTGGGGCAGGGGCGCGTCTCATTGGGTCATTCAGTGGACATATTAGGGTCCTCCAGTTGCCTGGTGGAGCGGGGGGCTGGGACAGAAGCAGGGACAGAGAGGGGACCACTGAAACAAGCCAGGCAGGAGGCAAAGGGCTCAACCCCAGGTCCAGAGCTCGCGGGGCCCTGTCAAGTCTGAATGCCCGGGAGGCGGCTCGAGGAGAGGCTGAGTGGTCAGGTGACAGCCGGTGCCCACCTGGCCATGCAGGCGGGGCTTCACCTCCCTGGCTCTGCGTGCTGCACCTCTCTTAGTGTGGCCTGGAGTCACAGCCACCCCTCAGGCCCTGAACCCCTGGTCTCGGGTGCTCTCTCTCGGAGGCCAAGCGCCTCGGGATTCCTGAGCCCATGACCCCTGAACCTCCCTCTGCTGCTTCCAGGGAGCCAGCCTCCTGGCCACTCTGTGACCTGGAGCTCCCAGTCAGTACCACTGGTGACAATGATGCCCCGCCTGTTGGTGGCCACACCTGCCAAACCCGCCACACAGCATTCCTTTGCTGACTTTCTACTGGGGACCCAGAGGTCCCCATGGAGCATGACGGTGGGAAGAGGGCCCACACTTGCCAGCTGCCCTGCGGGAGTTTCCGGCAGGAACCAGCCCAAGGGGCCAGCATATGTCAGGCCCAGGACCGGGAACGGCCGGATCCAGTGGCCCTGAGCGTGGGCATTTGGACAGAGCCTCAGCTCAGCCCTGACGGAGAGGCTGCGGCGGTGGGGACAAGTTCATGTCCATTCCAACTCGATTCCCGACTGGCCCTGCGTGCTGGGTGCAGGAGGTTCCCAGCTGGGCAGGTGAGAGCGTGCGATCGGCCATCGGTTAGCAACATCTGCCCGGGTACAGGAAGGGAGTACCCACGGCGTGCCCCGCGCTGGGCATTCCTGGCTCTGCCGACCTCTGGTCCCTCCCGGCTGTGGAAGCTGAGTTTCTAGGTTGGCTGGAAGCCCAGCTGGCCTTCAGAGGCCCTCTCCAAGCTCACCTGTCATAGTCCTGAATGATCTGCCCCACTGCCCAGATGGCCGACAGGTACTCGTTGGTGCCCAGAGGGTTGATATAGTGCAAAGAAGAAGGGTCCAGGGGATTCCCATTGGAGGCTGTGAAGTCTATCCCAACCTGCAGAGTTGGAAGGAAGGCCACCCCGTGTGACCACTGACCCACCTCCCTTTCCCACCCCAGGGAGTAGCAGAGGCTGATGGGACATGGACAGCCACTCCTTTCCCTGCCCTGCTCCCCCATAAAGTGGTCTGAAACCGAGAAACTGGGTGATGGTATCACTGCTCTGCTCTAATGCCATCCATGGCTCCCTATTGCCCAAGCATAAAGTCCACTGCCCAGATGTGACACAGGTTAACTCACCCCCCAGACTTCTTTCCCTCCTCACTGTCCCCTCCTGCCACTCAGAGGCCAGTCTGACTCCCAATCCTGGCCACTCTGCCTTGCCTCCCAGATGACCAAGGGGCCCAGGCCTGGGGCTGTCGGGCAGTGCAGTAGCTGTCTCCACAGTCCCTGAGCTCTTGAGCACCCTGGCCCCGGTCTGGGAATCCTGCACAGGGAAGGTGCTCAGTGGGAACTTGGGGCTGAGGGTGGACAGGAACCCGGGCTCTCGCTGCTCTCTCAGCCTCCAGAAGACCCCAGCCCAGCCCCTGGAGGGGTAGAGGACAGTGGTCAAGAACAGCCCTTGCCCAGCCAGGAAGGAACGAGAGCAGGAAGCCGGGAGGGGGCCCCTGGGAACTCAGCCACGGTGTGGAGAGAAGGGCCACCTGCACCCTCTCCCTGTGGGGGCTCAGCTCCCTGAGGCCAGGGTGGCTGTGTTAGCCCTCGAGGGACCCCTGCAGTGGTACAGCCAAGATCCTGGCATGAAGGAGGCGCTCAGCGGGCATTCGTCAAGTGAACCCACTCACCTAGGAGGGCAGGGAGGAGGCCCGGCCTCTCTGCAGAGGACAGGGCAGAGGAGGCTGGTGGAGTTAGGGGCCAGCAAGGCCAGTTCCCTAACTTCAAGCAATCCCCATGCCCTCCAGCCACTGGCTCTAGAGTGGTGGGGGACAGTGGGGGGCAGCAAGGAGGTGGACAGAGCCTGGTGCCCAGCAGGTCCCAGCTCTGGGCCTGGGCTGTGGAGCATGAGCCAAGCCACTCGGCCCAGAGTCTGTGGGGCGTGACCCAGGCCCGGCCGAGTGGCACTTCACTGTGTGGATAAACAGTTACTGAACGGCTGCTCTGCGCCAGGCACTGGGTGACATGCTGCAACTGGAAAGGACACATGTCCCACATGCCTGTGATGGCAGGTGGCACAAACAGGACAAGGAAAAAATGCCCAAGATAACTTCAGAGAGGGCAAGAGCCCTGGAGAAGATGAGCCAGGGAGGTGTGACGGAGGAAGAGAGCACCTCCCTGGGGAGGTGGCAGTGCAGAGCCCTGGAAGAGCAGAGCTCGGTGTCCGTCCGGGTGGACAGACAGGAAGAGTGGCTGCAGAGGGGGAAGGGCAGGAGGGAGCAGGGGAGGCGCTGGGCCATCGAGGGGAGGCTCCGTGGCCCGTGGGGAGGAACTGGCTTCTTTTCTCTCAGTTGTGCCCTGAGCTAAGCCCCAACTCAGCCCCTACACCAGGTAAACCACCTGTGCCCTCCCTACTGGGGCCCATCCCACCTCTTGCCCCAGGGAAGTCCTTCCTGAAGTTTATCCCAAGTCCCTCCTGCTGCAGTAAACCCTCAGGGAAGACCACCACTGGGGCGGGGTGCGCGGAGGAGTCGGGAGCCTTACCGTGAACATGAGCTGGCAGCCCCCCAGGATGTAGTCCAGGAAGGAATAGTCTCGGTGTATCTGGAAGGATCAGGGGAGTCAGTGGGTCCCCGGGATCTAGACTGAATGCCTCAGGGAGTTGGGGCTTCATGTCCTGAAACTTTGATGGGGACAAGGAGGCCATCGAAGCAGGTGGGTTGGATCTGACTACTACCAAGCCAGGACCTCTGGATGCCAGGGCCTTCAGAGCAGCGGTTCTCTCAGTGGATGGGGGGCCCTTGGGGGCAGGACCCAGGGCCCAGGGTCAACCACAGCTGCCGACTGCTCCACAGGGCGAGCCTCCACTCTTTGGCATTTGAGTCTTGACCTCCTCCGGCCCTCGCTGCCTCCCTTGCTAACTAAGAGCGAGAGCAGGGCTCTCGGCCACAGCGGCCTCTGCAAGTCACTGCAGCTGCTAAGCCACTGTCCGGCTGGCCCACGGTGTCCCCTGCCACCCAGAGACTCGGGAGGCAGAGGTGGGAGGATCCCAAAGTTTGAGGCCAGCCACAGCAACTTAGCAAAACCCTGTCTCAAAATAAATAAAAAGGGCTGGGGACATGCCTCCGTGGTAGAGCACCCCTGGGTTCACTCTCCAGTACCCCAAAACAAACCAAAAATAAAACCCCAAAACTCAAAACTCTGTATTTTGATGACCTTTCCCTCCTTTGGGCAAATACGGGCCTTTCAGCTTTGGTGGAGTGACAAGGGTCTCTTCAAAATAAATGGATTCCAGTGAATTCTGAAGTAGAGGAGGGGATAAGGGCTGATGGGAGGCAGGAGTAAGGGAAGAGGATGTGGCCGATGGATGTTTCGGGGATAAGGGCCTAAACCGTGCTGACGGTTGACCAGGCGCTTTTCCACTGCGGTATCACGGAAGGGTCACATGACCCCAGCCTCCCGATGAGGAGACCGAGGCCAAGGGCCTGGGATCCAAGCTACAGACAGCAGCCCAGACTCGCCTTCAACCTCAGGCCTGCGTCCAGGCTCTCCCTGGGCCCCAGGCTGCCCTCCTTGATGTCCTACCCTGTGGCCACCAGGGGACAGCATGCCTTGTCCCACAGCCCCGGCCCTAAATGCCCAACGTGTCCTGAGTGAGTACTGAGCTGGGGCCGTGGGGGCTCCCTATACCCCCCAAGCTAGGAGCAGCCGCAGAAGGTCACCTCGGCCTGCCTCAGCCTCCACACGGGAAGGTGATAGGAGACGGATCCTCTCCTTGCTACAGATGAGGAGACTGAGGCTCGGTTTAGGTCACACAGCCAGGATGTGACCCAGGTGGGATCTCCAGCCAGGCCTCGCCGGTGGCAGACCCAGAGCCCGGACGGCCTGCTGGGGCTGTGCCCTCTGAGCTGGTGGCCCTGGCTGGCTCACTCCTGCCCACCCACGGCTCACCTTGCAGGAACGCAGGACAATGACGCCCGAGTTTTTGTAGCCCTTCTTCTTCCTCTGCTTCTTGGGGTTGATGCACTCCAGCTCCAGCTGCACCAGAGCAGGAGGTCAGCGGGCTCCTAGGGGACGGATCCTCCCCAGGGCGCCCTCCAGTCTCAACAGAGGGGCAGCCGCCCGGACGGCTGCACCAGAAGTGGCAAGAGGGTTGAGAGGAGGGACTGGCCTCAGGGGACCAGGCCTCAGGGGACCAGGGGACGGTGCCTCGGTGCTCACTGGGGCAAGTCATCTCGCTTCCCCCCCACCCAAACCCTCTCTCCCAGGGACGGACAGAGAAACCGAGGCTCAGGGAGACTGTGCAAGGTCTAGCTCAAGGTCACGCAGCTGGAAACGATGGGGAGTGTGAGCCCGGGATGCCCGATTCAAACTCCAAGCCCTTCCCCTGGCCCTTGCCGTCTCAGGGTCCTGGCTCATGCACCCAGCTCACCGGGACACCGTCGCGAGCCATGCACATCTGGGACACTGACGTCTGGAACTCGCCAATGAAGTCGTGGCCCCCGTCATTGTCATAGTCGTAGCACATGACCTGGATGGGTCCAAACAGTCACCCTAGAGCTGTCCCCAAGCGGTGCCCTCGATCCCCTTTCAGATCCCAAGCAAAACCCGGGTCTTCTGTGGGTAGTCCCTCCCCCAGCCTCTGCCCGGCTGGCTGCAGGAAGTCCTGGGCCGCCTCCTACAGGAAGCCCACGTGGCTGCTGGGCGAAGGAGAAAGGGTGCCCACCCAGGAACGGAGGGTGTGGCCTGGGGCCCTCTCTAGCCTGAGCACAGGGACCCCCACTTTAAGTGACCACACTGACTTAGCTTCGTGCCACTGAGGAGGAAGGCAGGATGCGTGTGCCCATTCTGCTGCTGGATGAGGAGAGGCCCTGAGAGGGAAGCGCGTGGCCCAAGTCTCACCACAGCAGCGGCAGCTGCAGGACTAGAACCCGCATCTCCTGGAAGCCCATCTAGGGATCCCTGCCTGGCCCAGCTGTCACCAGACCTGCCTGCTCACACCCCTGCCCCTCAGGACTGGGGACTTTTGGTGACTGGTGACCACTGTCCTCCCCAGGTGACCACACATGTGCTACAGTTCACCGATTCTGAGGTGTTTCCACCCCTGTAACCCCAGCTCTGCAGCCTCCTGGAGGGGTGCGGCAGTTTTAGAGGAGAGGCTCATGCAGGTGGGGATCCTGCGCAGGTCCCCAGAGGCCAGGCAGACGGGGGACAAGGACTCAGGGCTCCAGGCTCCCATCCTCCCTCCCCCGAGGTGGGGTTCTTTCCATCTTAGGAAGAGGCTCCCGGGACCGCAGGGTAGACCAGGAGGCTCAAGCGGGCAGCGGGGGAGCAGGGCCCCCAGAGGCCCCCTCACCTGGATGGGCTTCTCCATGTCCCCATCACACAGGGACACCAGTGGCACGGTGAATGGCTTCCACACGGGGTCCAGTGTGTACTTGATCACCTGTGGGGGGAACAGCTCTGGGTCAGGCTGGCCGGGGAGGACGGCAAGTCAGGATGGGGACATCCGCAGGTGCACTTCTGGGGAAGGAGGGGAGCATCGGAGGGTCTCCCAGGGCATCTGCATGGCCGGGATGGCACAGCCCCACCCTGAGCTGTTGGAGGTGGCTGGAGGGCAGACCCACTGTGACCCCCAGGCCCCGGGCACCCACCTCAGTCCTGTGCACCAACATCCATTTGCCATCGTCCCCGGGCTTGTAGAATTCCAGGAACGGGTCCGACTTCCCAAAGAGGTCCTGGGAGAGCAGAGGGATGTGGGCGAAGGGGCACAGATCTCCCAGCTGGGTCCCCAACGCCCCAGTCCCCTCTACCCTCAGCCTCTGCAAGGCTCAGCTGGAGACCTGGGCAGCTGGAGCCCGCCCGGCAAAAACATGCCATCACAGGGTGGTTGCAGCCGTGCTTGAGCCCTGAGCCCCGAGCCCCGAGCCCTTAAGTCCCTGAGCCCCGAGTCCCAGAGCCTGCAGGGGCTGCAGCCACAGCATCTGCAGCAGGGCGGGGCTGCAGGAGGGCGCCTGCTCCAGCACAGGGCCAGGCACCCGCAGGAGGTGACATTTCTTTTAGTGAGCATCTGAAAACCTAGCGCTATCCGGCTTGTGGTGCTGGAGGGATGTGATGGCCTTTAAAACTTAACGTATTAAGTTGAAGAAAAGCAGCACTCTGAAGAGGACACAGATGAAGAGGACAAACACTAAAACTGATGAGACTCTTTGTGAGACAATAGTGTCAAGGAGACAAGTAGAGAAGGAAAGGGCAGGCAATCAAAGGCCACTGCCCGAGAAGGTACGTGGAAGCACAGGTTTGATGTAAGGAGGGAGCCGTGAGTGTTCAAGGAAGTGTCCCAGGCAGAGGAAAGAGCAAGAGTCAAGGTCCTGAGGCAGCAGGGTATGGTGGCGCATGCTCTAATCCCAGCAGCTCAGGAGGCTGAGGCAGGAGGATTGCAAGCTCAAAGCCAGCCTCAGCAACTTGGTCAGACTCTGTCTCAAAATAAAAAAATACAAAGGGCTGGGAATGTGGCTCAGTGGTTAAGCGCTCCTGGATTCAATCCCTGGTACACGCCCCCCCAAATAAAAAGGTCCTGGGACAGGAGTATGCCTGGTTTAACCTGGGGACAGTGGCTGGGAATATGTAGCTCAGGATGTAGCACATGTGATCCCAGCACTGCCAAACGAATAAACACATCTGGGATGGCAAGGAGGCTGGTTTGGTTGGAAGGTAGAGGAAGAGGTGGGGTCAGAGTCGGGGCACTTGGGGGAACATCAGGCAGGGGCCCCACAGGGCACTGAGGCCCCTGTGAGATGGGGTGCTGCACAAGTGGGATCCCACTGTGTCCTGAACGCCCCAGGTGATGGGAAGCTCCCTCTCTCACAGGTGGGGAGGTCTTAATCTGGAGTGGTCAGTGGGGGCCTATGCAAGGCCCGTCCCCAGGGGACAATGTAGGTGATGGCCAGAGAGGCCAGGCGACACAACCGCAGGCCAGGGTGGGGACCCTGCTCCTGCTGGAAACCCCTTCTGCCTGCCTCACCTTCTTGTCCAGCTTCCTGCCCGCCAGGCTCAGCGTGATGACCCGGTTGTCCGACAGCTCCTGGGCTGCGATCTGCAAGATCAAGGTCAGGGCCGTGAGGGGAGGGTGTGCTCCTCCCACCCCCCACCTGCCAGGCACAGTGGGTATGGGTGGGGGAGGAGTGAGAGGGGTGGGGCCAGGTGAACTCCGACAAGTTTCTTGTCTTCCCCAAGCCAGTTTCTGTCATCCGGAATGAGGAATCAGAAAGTGGCTTCATGTGGCTCAGGGGAGGGGACCTGGGTGAAGCAGTGATTAGACTTGAGCTGAGGGAGAGGTTCTGGGCCAGGGAGCAGCAGGACATGGCTCCCCTGCAGCCCCAGAGAGCCCAGAACACCCAGGGTCAGCAACTACAGCAACCTCATGTGCCATCAGGGTCGGAGCAGGGCCACCAGAGTTCCCTCAGCTCCCATGGTCATCTACCTCCGCGCCTTCCCCAACCACCCACCATGATCCTTGGACCCCAGCCCAGCCAGGGCTGGACCCGCTGGGAACAGGAAGCTGGTGTGGAAGCCTGAGATGGAGCCATGGTGACCACTGATGTCTGGGGGCTGGGCGGGGCACTCCAGGCGACAGGAAGAGAGCAGATGGGATTCTGTGGAGCGCCCAGGGTGTGCGGTCAATTCAGCTTGCCTGGCCCGGGCATTCGAGGGAAGGGGCAAAGAGTCGCCGGGGTGGGGCTGCAAGGCTGGGGCAGCGGGGTCCCTCAGCTTTGAAGGAAGGAGCCACCTGGGGTGGGAGCGCCGGGAGCACGGCGCCCCTCCTGCACCAGCCCCATGTAACACAGGGGTAACATGTAACAGCCAGATTGTCTAGTGGGGCTGCCCAGGGGACTTCCTCTTGGGTCTCTTTTCCCTCATTTGCTAACAACGGGGGTTGCCCTGCCCTCTGGGGCTGCGCGCTCATCCCTGAGAAGGGGCTGCGCACGGGGTATCCTTGCGCATGGCACCGCAGGGGAGGCAATGAGCACCGCTGAAAACCAGAGCCCCCAACTGTGCCCCCAGGGAGGCCGGTGGCAGGGACCCGTGGGGAGGGGGCTGGGAGGGAGCTGGAGCCGCCAGGGAGGAGAAGGAGGCCCCGCCCCAGCCGCCTTGGGGGCCTTCTGACAGCGGGGGGGGCCCCCAGCGCATCGTTTGTGGCCGCCTGGAGCCCGTTGCTAAGAAACCTGTTGCTAAGTTGTAAGTTGGGCCTTTTTACTCCAAACAAAGCTGGTGATTATCTGCCGGAGAAGCGGCCCATTGATGGGGGAGGGCAGCAGCGGGGCAGTGGCGGGTGTGGGGACGTGGAGAGCCGAGGGGGCTGGTACCGTGATCAGGCCCTTCCCCGCGGGCTTGTCGTTCATCAGCAGCAGAGGCCGGGTGATCTTCTTGCTGGAGACGATCTGGTGACAGAGAGAGGCTTTCAGGGAGGTGGGCCACGGGGACAAACCCTCCACAGGCGCCATTCAGCTGGCCGCCTCCTGCCAGGGCTGCCAAACCTTCACCTGCAGAGTCTGACCCTGGGAGGCTGACGGCCACCACTGCCAGCCAATGAGAGCAGCCAGGACGCGAGACACTGGCCAGAGGCACGGTGGCTTGGGGGTGGCCTCCTGCAGCCTGGCTCCACTCTCCTGGCTCACCCCAGGGAAGGTCCTCAGGGCTCCTGCTCTAGAGACCACCGCAGGGAGTCGTCCCCCAAGTCCTGGGAGGGCCTCCTCTGGGCAAGCCTGCAGGGGAGGCGGCCCCCGGTCTCTGTCTGTGTTTTCCTTGCTAACAACAGTCGTGGGGTTCAATCATAGAGAAAGGTAAAGTGAAGCACATCAGGAAGTTCCCTTCCTGTCCCCTTCGTCACCACCTGCCTCAGGAGCCTCCGCCCTGGTTTCCTGGGTAAAGGCTGTGTCTTCACGCAGGTCTGAGGACACACCAGTACAGGCTGCTCCTGTCCCCTCCCAGGTCCACTCCCCACCCTTCTCTGCCTGCTCTGGGCCCCATGCACTGTGTCACCTGGCTGTCTGTCCCTTAGCTTTTGGGGGTTCAGCTGTGGCCACGTGGGACCCACAATGCGGCAGCAGTTGGTGGCACTGCGATTGGCTGTCCCTTCAGATGGGAGCTCTCCTGCCTGGCACCAAGCCCACCCGCTGTACCCCCGCTCTGGTGCCTGCTGGCTCCCCCGGTGGTCTGCACCTGCACTTGGGGAGGCAGGGAGAGCAGGTGCCGGGAGAGACTGCCCGAGGGGCTACTCCAGGGAAGCTGGTGGCATCTTGGGGGCTGCCCAGCTCACCGTGCCCAGGCTGCAGGAGAACTGGCCCAGGAAGTCATGCTCCTCCAGCTGCGTGCTGGACCTGTCCTGGTCAAACAGGGCAAACTTGAGCTTCTGCACCTCCTCAAAGTGGTAGTCGAGGACAAACTTCTTGGAGAACGCAGGGTTGAGGTTGTTGACCGCCGTTTCCGTCCTGTCATACTGGCAGAGGGGCAGGGCGGTGGGAGTCAGATTCAGGGCGGCTGGCTTGCCCCTCTCGGGATGCCAGAAAGCACTCTGCCAATCACCGAGCTCCGACTCAGGGCCAGGCTGGAGCAGTCACTCCCCCAGCTCATAGATGAGAACATAGGAGCACAGAGAGGCGAAGTGACTTACCCAAGGTTGAACAGCCAGCAGGGCCAAGGCCAAAATTCAAAACTTGGATCTGCCTCTACTACCCACACTCTTAACCCTTCAGCCCTAGCTCCATTCCCAGGTACCAGGGTAAGAGCTTGGGCCCTGACCCTGCTGCATGAGTGACAGAGGGCAAGTCCCCCTCTACATCTGGGGGACTGGAGTCTCTGTAGTTCTTAAACTTTTTACCTTGGAAGAGGCGGGGCAGTTGAGAGGAAACAGAAAGAAGGAAGTGGGGGGCCTTGGGGAGAGGTGGGTCACAGAATCCACACCCGGGGACAGATGTTTGCATCTCCTGCCCCCACATGGAGACTGAGTCCAGGGCCGCTCTTTTTATTTTGAGACAGTGTCTCCCAAGTGGCCTAGGCTGGCCTCACACTTAGGATTCTCCTCCTCAGTCCCCTGAGTCCCTGGGATACAGGTGGGCGCCACCGCTCAGGGCTCAGTGCGTTTCTGGTTCCGAGTCCTGGAATCCTGCCCCAGCAGCCCCGCTGGACACGGAAGCCCTGCGAGGACAGCGAGGACCGTTCGCCTCCCTGTGGGCGGTGGTGACTCTGAAACAGGAACCGCCTCCTGGCATCTGAACAGGGACGCCCCAAACCACGGAGTCTGGGTGACGTCTATTTTGGGGCCCGGGCTCTGTTGATTTTCCTCCCACCCAGTCTGTTTCTTCTAAGGCTTGAGTAGCAGCCACACAAGAGGTCTTGGCCTTGGGCTATTTTTAGCCAGGGTGGCCCGACTGGGTGGGAATGGAGGTCACTGCGAATGCCTGAGTAGGGGGCACCCCTCCCTGAGGGGCACGTGGGGCACCAGAGGTCTGGCACTGCGCATTGCACATACCTGCCACAGGCCTGGGCCACCCCTGGAGATCTGGGATGACCCCACATCCCATTTCCCACTTCCTGCTGCACCCCCAACAGACTGGGTGACACAGAAAAATCGCCACCCTCCAGGTCCTATTTCCCCTCTGCAAACAACAGAGGGCAACAAACCAAGCACCTTTTTTTTTTTAAATCACAAGCAGCAGCCAACATCTGCTGGAGGCCTTTGGAAACCATAGTTTTTTCATTTAGTGGCTCACCATGACCCAGTGAAATATTTACTTAAAAAGGAGGCTGAGGCAGGAGGATTCTAAGTTCAGGGCCAGCCTCTGCAACTTTAAGAGTCCTTAAGCAACTTAAAGGGACTTTGTCTCAAAATAAGAAATAAAAAAGGCCTGGAGATGTAGCTCAGTGGTGAAATGCCCCTGGGTTCAATCCCAGGTACCAAAAAACAAGCAAGATGCACATGTAGTCTGAAAAATAGACATGCATACAAAACTCTCTGGCTACCAAACCAACAGGTGGGTGGGGCCTAACCATTGGGACTGTCTTTAGGTTTCAATTAATTTTGTAAATTGGCCACTAGGAATGTAGTTCCCTTTAGGAAGAGGAAACAAAACAAGTTTCAACACCTGAAAGCCGGAGGTTGCGGAGTCTCCACCGCCTTCTCAGGGCTGCTCCCCTCCCCAGGCCTCGGGCCCAGGCTCCAGCTCACCAGTCCTGGCCTAGGACACCAGCCGGGTTCCCAGCTTCCCTCCCCCACAGCAGGCACCAGAAAATGAAACCCCCATCCCACAGAGGAGACAGGCTCAGAAAGGGAGAGCCCCTTATTGGGGCCACACAGCAGGGAACAGCATTGCTGAGGCTGGAACCAACTCTAGGGCCCAAAGCCCGAGCGCTGTGTGCTCACTTAGAGATAAGGGGAGGGTTATTTAAAAGTGGAAGGAAGGGAGCCTTTTGTAAAACTATAAAATTTCTAACTAAGTTACAACCATTTAAATGTTACAATAGAAAACAATGAATATAAAATCATAATTGTGCATTTATGGATTATGGTAATTTAGGCAATATAATCATTTCAGTTTTAGTTTGAAGAGGCGCAGTTTCCACGTAGCCTCCCTTTGCCACTCACATTCTCCCACCTCCAGGCCTGAGCCCCGGGGTCGCAGGTCCAGCGGGGGGCCCTGCCCACCACCCGGTCCTTGCCTCGCCCAGCGCCAGCGCATGCGCAGGGGCCTCACCTCCATCCACCTGCCGTTGTTCTCCGTAAAGAGGACGCAGAAGGGGTCGGACTTGGAGGTGACGTCCCGGTCCAGCAGGTTCTGGCCGCTCACGGACAGCTCCACTCTGCACACGCAGTGCTGGGAGCCCAGGGGGGTGGCCCCAGCCCCTGGGGCTCCCCCACCGGGTATGTAGGCCATCGGGGTGGGTGGTGGCAGCAGCAGCTCCTGGCAATCTAGGAGAAGAGGGGTGAGGGTCAGGAGGCCGCCCCTCCAGAGGGGGTCATTGTCACCTGGCCTGAAGTGTGTGGGAGAGAGGGGACGCGGTGTTGGGGGGAACCTGGGCCAGAGGGAAGAAGAACGCACAGGATGCACCACAAAGGAGCCTCTGGAGGTGGGTCTCGTTCGTCTTTGAAGTTTTTCTGTTTTGGCCACTCTTTACCCGCGAGGGACCGCAGTGCTGTTCACATCAGATCAGCAACGCACGGTGACACTCATGGTGCCAGGAAAGCTGGGCTTCTCCTGAGCAGTGAACATGCCGGCAGCCTGTGGCTACGGGGCCACGCACAAGCGCTCAGATTTCCCTCATGGCTTTGGCCACTAGGAAGCCCACTTCCAGTAGCTTATTCAAAAGGTGACCTTGTTCGTTGTTTCTCATGCTCATTCTGCATCTCCAGCCCAAGCACGTGGCTTGGGCACAGGGAGCATTGCGAGTGCGTTTGATGATTGAAAGAAGGACGAATACATGAATGAATGAACGTGGACCAAGCTCCACATTCCTCAGATCCTGCCCGCGCTGGTCTGGATGGTCAACAAAGACCCACCCTTCACTACTCCTGGCTTCCCCCAATCCTGGGCCCATGTGCCCCTCTGCTATGGAGGCTGCTCCTGACATCTTGACTCTGCTCATGCTCTGCAGTCCCGAGTCCCAGAAGACAAGCTGTCCCCTGGGAGCAGGAGGGGAGGAACAAGTGGCGGTGAGCTCTGAGTCCCCCGTCCCAGCCCTGTAGAGAGCCACCCCCCTCGGTGCCTCCGTTTCCTCTCTGCCCACGTGACATGACGGCACATCCCTTGAGACTCCGGTGGTCAGATTTCACTCTCACAGCAGGTGCCTGCTTAACCCAGGCCCACCACCCAGGTGGACGAGTCCAGTCCTCAGACACTCACCCCACAGGGGCCAGCTGCCAGTGCCTCGACTCCCCTCATGGTTGAGTGGGTAAATGACCCTGCACTTCCCCAGAGGAGGGAGAAGAGGAAGATGGTGGGAACACAAGGTCCTGTCCCTGTGCTTGGAGCACAGATAACACGTCACTTTTACAGTCTCCCTTCCCCATTCAGTCTCATGGGGCAAGTGGTAGCATTGCCCCATTTTCCAGAGGAGGAAATTGAAGCTCATTCCAGAGGAGGAAATTGAAGCAACTACTAGGTCCCAAGAACTGTGCTGGAGCTGAAGATCCCGCAGGAAGAAGCCTGTCCTCTGAGACTCCTGGAGAGCCCCGATCCCGCCTGGCTGGGACACAGTAAGGGTCCAGGACAGCAGCCAGGTCCTCTGGGGAGCTGCGTTTCAGCCCGAGAGTGATGGGAAGTCTTGGAGGCAGAGAAGTGACATGATCTGATTGGTCTATTTAAAAGCCTACTCCAGCCTGTGGGGCAAGCCAGCTGTCAAGCTAAGGAGACGCAGCTGCTGTCATCCCTGCAGGAAGGACCATGTCACAGTCACGGTGCTGGATGCAACCTCCCCCTCTACCCTCGCCGCAGCCCACTTCCCGAGCGACAGCCTCTTGCTGGGCCACTGCAGGCCCTGGTTTGCAGGAGGCCAGGCCCCCTCTTCCCCACAGAGACGTGCCCCAGGGCTTGCCCGGCAGGGAGGGGATGTGGACAGTGAGAAGCCAGGCCTCAGCTGCCCGCTCCCACCCCATTACAATCACAGGAGCCGGAGCATCAGAAAGGCACCGCAGTGTGCCTGCAGGATTTATTCTTGTGTAGAGATCAGTTTCACTGGGGGGCGGGGGGGGGCATCGAGGCTCACTCCACCATGTGCAGCTGGGGGCGGGGTGCAAATCCTCGGCCAGGCAAGCGGGCAGACAGGGGTGTCCTGCCCATGTGGCTGAAGGCGTCTGTTGTGCTCAGACCTGCCCTGGGGGTGGGGGTGGGGCAGGATGACCACCATGTTACAGATGAGGAAACTGAGGCCCAGAGAGAGGAAGAAACTGCCAAGGTCCTGTGGCCAGCAAAGAGCAGAGGCAGAGTGTGAACCAGGTCTCTGGACTGCAGGGCTAACAACGCTCAGTCTTCCCACCAAGGTGGGGGATGGCTGGGTATTAGGGGGCCATTCAGGGAATCAGCCAGGCCAGTGGAGCCTGAAACAAAGGGGCGGCATGGTGACCAGGACTGCAGTGCCGAGGAAGCCAAGGACACCCCCCAATCTGAACAAGTACCCAGGCCCCGGAGTGCCCAGGGTCACCAGCTCCTCCAGGTGCACGTGGTCTGCACCCCTGTGTTCCCCGCCATCACCGATGGGTGGCTTCGGCTCGCCCACCTCCTCTCCATCCCGGACCAGCCCCTGCTGCTGGGCAGGAGTGGGCCCGTGTCCACCCCAGCTCCACGCACTTCCTGACCCAGGAGGAAAAACGCGAAGCCACTGGCCACGCGAACTCTCTGGGGCCACTCCTTCCATCCCCAGTGACGGCCTCCTCCCTGTCTTGCCTTGGTGACAACACTGGCCCCGGGCCCGGCTCCGGCCATGGTCAGGAGGGCCAGGTCACAGCCAGCCACTGGCTCGGCCAGGATCAGCTCACAGGCCAGCTGGGGAGAGCTGAGGATGACTGATGGGTGGGGAGGGGCCTCCTCCACCCTGGGCGCGTCCCTTATCTTAACTCACCCTCTGGCAGGAAGCTCCTGGATGCTCGAAACGGGGAGCACATGGTGCCAGGGCTGGGGCAGCAGGGGTCAGAGTGGCCCTCTGTGCCAGCCCGGCAGCAGGCAGGCCAGCCGGACCCTGAGGCCTGACGCAATGGAAAAAGAAACCACAGCTTAGGCTGGGCTGGCCCCCTCCCCTCTGCCCCAGCGGGAGGCGGGCAAGGTGTCATTAAGGGAGGGTTGGGTCTGCCCTGCGCATCTGTGCAAGATGGACGCCTCCCCGGGCAGCACCGCCCCACAGGTAATTTGAGGTTTTCAGGCAGGAGAAGGGGGCACAGGAGCCCGGGCCTGCTAGAGGGTGGTCCTGACTCCTGGCACAGATGGGCACAGGCCTGCCGTGTGACCAGGCCCTGTGGGAAGCAGCCTGGTGGGCGGGATAAGGAGCCAGGGGTCCCTTGTAGAGATGGGTTCGCTGAGGCAAGGCCAGGGCAGGGCCTCGTCACCCCAGGCACGGGCTCCTCGTTCATCCAACGGGCAGCCCGAGTACCCGGGACTATGGCAGTGAATAGGCACCGGGAGTTCAGCACCCCAAGACCACTGTCCCAGCAGCCTGGCTTCCCGTCCTGAGGCAGAGGGCAGGATTTCGCGACTCTGGTGTGGAGCCCAGGTGGAGAACAGCATGGTCTTAGCCAGAAACCGAGTGACTCACCCTCCTGACCCCTTGGCTTTAGGTCCCCCATCTCACAGAGCAGCTGAGGTCACCTCCAAGCAGCCTCCGGCCTCTGCCCTCATCTCTACTTCCCCGGCCTCCGCTGGCTGAGCCCCATCATCTCGTGCCAGGCCATGCCCCAGCTCTGCCAGGTCTCCCCAGGGCCACTTCTCCCTATATCAGAGCCAGAGGGAGTCTTTAAACATATAGATGAAAACCTTCCATGCCTCCTCCTTCGAGGTCACATGAGCCTCCTGATCCTGGCCAAGCAGGTGGCTCATGCCTGTAATCCCAGCAAGTTTGGAGAATGACAAGGTTGAGGCCAGCCTTAGCAACACGGCGAGACCCCCAGCAACTTAGTGAGATCCTGTCTCAAAGTAAAAAAGTAAGAAGGGCTGGGATGTAGCTCAGAGGTAAAGTGCCCCTGGGTCCCATCCCCAGCATTAAAAAAAAAAAAAAAAATCCTCTCCAAGCAGAAAAAGTCCTGCCTGCCTTACCAAGCCTGACTCATGCCCCTTCCCTGGCTCCCTGGCCTCCTCTCTGCTCATGTGCCCACCTCTCCCTGCCCCGTGGCCTCTGCACTCGCTGTTCCCAGTGCCAGAGATGAGGGGTGATAGAAGTCAGCTTAAGGCCTTGCTATATGGCTGAGGCTGACTTTGAACTTGCAATCCTCCTGCCTCAGCCTCCTGAGATGCTGGGATTACAGGTGTGTGCCACATGGTACGCCCCCCCCCCAAAAAAAAGCCAGCCTAATGTCACATCCTCGAGGCCTTGCCTGGTCCCTCGAGCTTGCGTCTCGGCTCCATGCCGTCTCCTTTCCTGGCACTGCGCTGTATGAGCACGTTATGTGTTTGTCCACGTGCCTGGCTTTGTCATTGGCCCCCTAGAGCACAAGTCCCCAGGGGAGACACCAGCGCTGTTTCTCCAGCAGGAGAGCAGCTTCTGCCCAGGGGGTGCTCCACCAACAGGCTGAGGCTGAGGGGCTGGGAGCTGCAGGCAGTCCCCGGACCGACAGTCGCCCTCCCCGCACACCTGAGCCCACGGAGCTGCTGCTCAGACCCTGGACCCTTATAACCGCTGAGAGGTCCGCTAGGGAGGGGCTCAGGTCCTACGTCACAGCGGGACATGGGGGCCCCAGGGAGGGAGGCACCTGGGCCCAAAGCCAAGCCTCCATCCTCCTCGCCAGTCCTGCCCCACTGACTGAGGAGCTGCTAAGCTGGCTGGGCAGACCCCCGACTTAGGGGTGGCACTGCTGGGCAGACAGCAGGAGTGGCAGGCAGGGGGGTGCAGACGGCCAGGGGAGGCTCAATGGGGAGGGGAGCAGCTAGAAGGTGAGCAGCAGGTCAAGGAGGCCAGGGATCAGGGACCCCACTCCTGAGAGTCTCAGCCAGTGGGCACTGGGGCTGGGTGACCGTGGGAACGCCCCCAGATCTTTTAGTGAGAGGCATCAGGCGCCATGAGAAAAAGCACGTTGAACTTAGTATTTGCAAAGTGAAAAAGATTCTGTCGCAGGGTCAACTACGGGAAGCAAAGCTCTACCAAGTCTTGCTGGTGGCAAAGACAGGGCTTGGTCCTCTGGTCAGTACCAGGCAGCGGTGAAAAGCAGACTCCGGACTGGGGTTTGAATCCCTGGCTCTTCCATTACCCGATGTGTGATCTCAGGCAGGTTACTTGACCTATTTCACCCTCTGTAAAACGGGGACCATAAACTCGCTTCCTAGAGGACTAAGTGAGATAAACACTTGGAACACACTCTGCATGATTCTCGTGAGAGGCGGGAACAGACCAAAACCTCCAAGGAGGAGCGGTTCACACGGAGCCGGCAAGGGGCCAAGGCTGGTTGAGAAACACGGCTCCAGGCTCCCCTTCTCCACTGGAGGACAGAAGCCAGGGGTGGCTGGGGCCAAAGAATGAACAACAGACTGGGAACAGGAACCTACAGGCCTTCCAAGGAGGCCACCTACCCTTGGGTGTAGCGGCTGCTGGGCCTCTCAGGGCTTCCAGAAGATCCTGCTGGGGAAGCGGTGCTCATCTCTAACAGCAGAGCTGCCAAAGTGGCTCCAGTGTGGTCCCCACACAGGGGGCCGTGGTGTCTTCGGGAGCCGCTCAGGAGCACAGCATCCTGGGCACCGCTGAGACCAGGCAGCCTAGAATGTTGGAACAAGCCCTCCAGGTGACTCTGGCGTGGGTTGGCTTGCACAAATCACAGGTTGGGTGGGCAGGTGGGGGTTCTAACAAGCTCCCGGGGGAGCACAAGGCCCCAGATCTGAGGCTGCAGTATGGCGGCTGCTGGCTGACCCACCCCAGCCGTGGCTCCCTTGGCTTAATTAAGCAGATGCTCTTCTTGGCCCCCAGACAAGCCCTGCCCACCCAGAACCCTCAACTAACCAGATACCCAGTCCCTACCAGCCCCCGTGGCTGCTGGGTCCACAGAGCTTGCAGGGGTTTGGGAAGGGTCTTGGGTGCAGCTGGGTCTAAACTGCGTCCCTTGCCCCATTTCCCAGATGAGAAGAGTCAGGAAGCCAAGTGGCAACTGATTAGTCAGAGTTCTCCAGAGAAGCTGAACCAGCAGCATGTGCAGAGAGAGAGACTTATTTTAAGGAATTGGCTCATGTGATGGTGGGGCAGGAAGTCAGGAATCTGCAGGGCCAGGCTGGGGGAAGGCTTGAGAGGCGGGCAGGGCTTCGTGCTGCAGACGCCAGGGCCCGTGCCTGCTGAGAAGTCTCGGTCTCTATGCTGAAGGCCTTCGGTTGGTTGGATGAGGCCCACACATTATGGAGGATAATCCGCTTTATGAAAGTCTTCTGATTTAAATGTTAATCGCATCTTAAAAATACCTTCACAGCAACATGTGGACTGGTATCCAACCAAACAATTGGCCACTGTAGCCCAGCTGAGTCCAACACGTAAGATCGGCCATCAGAGCAACATTTAGCCCCCAAGGGCACAAAAGTAAGGCGTTGGGGTGAGGTTCTGGGTTTGCCCTTCCTGAGTGCGGGAGCTGAAAGAGGGAAGGTGGGTGTGGCCACACTATGGGGAAACAACCATCATAAAAGCCGTCATCCTAAGGCCTGGCCCAGGTCCTTGCTGGGCACCATAGGAGCGCTGATTCCGTATCTTCCCAGCATCCCTGAGCCAGGCACCGTCTCCACCCCACCCCCGTATCCAGATGAGGAAACCGAGCTCCAACAGGGCAAGGGTTCACTCTCTGGCTCCCAGGCCGATACCACTCCCGACCACAGGACGGATCCACACCGGCCCTGACATGATGCGGGACAAGTCATCAGTCTTTCTTGTCCCTCCAGGGGAATCACAGACTGCTAAGCACCGTAGGCTGGTCCAGCTGCCCGGACGCTCAGCCTCTTTCTTTGCTCCCTCCATTTCCTCAGCTCGGTAGAACCAGATGCCAAAGAGCCACAAGTTTCCAAAGCTGACAGCGGGGACTTTGGCAAGGACGAGCCACCAGAGCTCTCATGGCTTGCCAGGGGGAGTGGAAATCGGTGCCATCACTTAGCAGAGCTGCTCAGCAGAGCCTACAACAGCTCAATAACTGCCTCCCTGGGATGACCAGCAAGGCTCAAGGGAAATGTCCACAGATGGCCACCAAAAGGTGTGCACCAGAATGTGCCCGGCGGTGGCACTGTTCCTAATGGCCCTGGGCTGGAGTCTCCACCATCAGAAGGAGAAATAAAGGGTGTTTTACTGAATGGTACACAGTGGACACGTAATGAGCCCGAAGGCGGCACGGGCACACTGACAGTGTGGGTGGCCTCCCAACGTGCTGAGTGTGGGGCACAGGACGGAAGGGGGATGCCACCTGGTGTGGGTTCACATATGGACAGTTCAACGTGGACCAGAGAAATCTAGGCTATTGAAGGTGAGGACCCCAGGAGGTCAGTTAGTGGCATGACCGACAGGAGGCCTGGTGCTGGTAACCCAGATGTGCGGGCCAGGGGCTGCCATCCAGCTGTGCAGGCAGGCTGGCCGTTCCGCTTTCTGATATTCAGAAATACAATGTTTAGGGACGAAAACCAACAACTCAGGGCCCCTCTGCAGAGCCCTCTGCTTCCCAGGTCCCTGAGGGGCAACCACCCCGCTGCTGCCCCACGGTAACCACTAGCTTAGGAAATGCCGCCCTCACTGGAGCCCAAAGAGGGGACCACATCTCATTTTCATCTCTGTTGTTCCCAACACCGAGAGGCAGAGACTGGGAGCTGGACAAACGCTGCTGGCCAAGAGGAAGAGAGAAAGGTCAAAGGAAAAGGACCCATGACATCTTGGGATCCCCTGGAATTACAGCGGACTCACAAAATTCCGGACTTGGGACCCTGGACTGAAAGGTGTCACGGTTTATCTGCCCTCATCTTCCAGACACACGAGAACCTGGCCATGGCCCCAACATCTTGGGGGGCAGGGGTAGCCCACCCCAAGTCGCCGCTGCTCCTCGGGACCCTCCTGCACGCCTGCGGCTCACGACTCCCACCAGGTGGCTGCAGCCTTCAGGCCAGCCTGGCCACTCTGCACAAGCCGAGGGCCGGCACCTCCCACAAGTCCCTTTCCACCTTCGCCAGGGCACCGCTGCCGTGCTCTGAAGACACGGCACTCTGCCGGGCAGCCAGGCCATTACGGGGATAAATATAGACGCAGACAGCAAGGCGAGGAGGAGGCAGCAGGGGTCGGATCTGATGTCCCCCGGGCCCGGCTTCTGCCAGGCCACACTCAGGGAAGCTACCCGCCATCCCCGCCTAGTCACCAAGCTCTGGCCTGTGGGGGAAGCCCTCCTCCGGGAGCACCAGGCCCTGCACCGGAGCACTCGGCTTGGAGTCTCCCCAGGCTGTCACTGCAGGGACCAGCCCAGCAGGTGGACAGGCAGCCTCCCCCGGCCCAGGGAGGCCACAGGTTAGGGCCAGTCCTGCTCTCACCACCTCTCCCTTCAGGGCCTTGGCTTGTCATCTGCCAAAAGGGCTGGCGGTACCCTGCCTCCTGCCTCTGCCTCGCAGGAAGCCCTAGGGATGGGCACGGAGGCTCTCCAGGCTGCACTGAGTGCTGTGGGGACTCTGGGAGTAGGTCTGGCCAGGCTTAGATGGAAGGCCAGGCTAGTGGAGGGTTGGCGACCACAGGGCCTAAGTTATTCAAATGTGGCTTCACTCAAAGGGAGCTTTGGAGAGGGTCAGAGATCGGGACACAGCCCCAGAGTCCTCCCTGTGGTGTCCCCCGCCCCCAGGAGTGCCACGGGGCAGTAGGTGCCAGGAGGCTCCTAATCCCCAGGGTGAACCCAGGCAGGCTCCTTCTCCTGGGCGTCTCCATCTCCCTGCTCATTCTAGCCTTGTGGCTGGGGCTACAGATGCCCCTTGTCCTCTGTGGGCTGCTCTGGGCTTCTAGTCCCAAGTTCCACCCAGAATCTCTGAGCTCACAGGCCTGGAAAGCCATCGGGACTCGTTCAGCTCCAGAATTCCTCTGCAGGCCCCTGCGGTGGCTGTGCACTGGGTACATCCCTCAGGAGAGGAGGCCCCTGCCATCTTTTCAACGGCTCCTTGTACTCAGTGCCCTCAGGCTGCCCACCCCACATCCTGGCATGCCAAAGAGCCCCACATCCTCAGCCAGCCAGTGGTGGGGCTCTGAGCCCCAGCACCAGGCAAGAGGCCGCCACCCAGGGAAGTAGCCCAACCTCAGGCCCAGGCCCTCCTCGGGCCAGGCCTTGTGGAGAGGGCACTGCCAGCTTCTTCCACTCCTGGAGATGGGACTCAGCCCTGACCGGATGCCTCTGCACACCTGGTCCTGTTCAAAGGGCGTAGGTCTGTCTCCCCGTTACCTCGGGAGATGGGCCCTGCCATTATCTCCATTTTATAAATCAGAGAACTAAGGCACAGAAGTTTCATAACCCACCTATTATAGGCTGGACTGTGCCCCCCACAGATGCCCCCACACCTGGAATGTGAACTTAGTGGGGAATATGGGAGTCTCAGATGTAATTAGTGAAGATGAGGTCATTCTGCAGTGGGGTGGCCCTGAATCCCATGTGACTGATGACCTTAGAAGAGGACAATGTGAAGGTTCAAGGGAAGATGGCCATGTGAGGGAGGAGGCAGAGGCTAGAGCTGCGATGCCACATGCCACATGCCACATGCCAAGGGACGCTCAAGCCTACCAGGGCCTGCAGCACGTGGGGAGGGCCCCCCAGAGCCTGGCTCCATGTCCAGCCGCAGTCTCCAGCACTGGAGAGAACGATATCTGTTGGTTCAAGCTCTACAGTCCCTGAAAACCAGAGTCAGAAACCAGGCGGCCACCCCGCAGCCAGTGCTCTGCTGCCAGCACCCTCTGGGGCTGGTCCCAGGGACATGGCCTGAAAGACTGTCCGGCCCAGGGAGGGGGGGGGACATCTGCAGGGAGCCGAGCACGCCCTCTCCTGTGTCTTGGAGAGAGACAGCAAGACACATTGGGCAGGCCAGATGTCCCTAGCTCCTGGTCAGCCGCAAAAGCCATCCAGGGAGACAGCGGAATTGTGGGGAGAACGGGCTCCTAGAATGCTCCACGTCCCCACCCCAGGGCCTCTGCCCGGGCTGTCTCCTCCATCCTGGGCCCTTGTTCTTTGTTCGTCCATTCAAAGACATCCACTGAGCACCTACCTGCCCCAGGTACAGCTGGGACGCAGCCACGACAGAGACCAACGCCCTGCTCCTGTGGGTTCCAGTTCATAACATCTCAGCTCAAAGGTCACTGCCTCCCTGAGAGGCCTCCCTCACTGCCACTGCGCCGCCCTATGGCAGTCACTGTCTTTACGACTCTTTGACTCTTTATGACCCTTTTTTGGGTCATTTGCTCATCTCGGTCCCCCACCCCCAACTCCAAGCTCCGGAGCTCAGGGGCTGAATCTGCCTTGACCATGATTGTCACCCAGCAGATATAGCACAGTCTCTGACCCAGACCTGCTGTACAGGAAATGGGTGACTGCAGGCGGAAAGGAGATTTCCTGTTCTTAGGACGCCTATTTCCTACATGCAAAACTGAGGTCAGAGAGGTTAACCAAGAAACAGTTCAGGTCACACAGGAAATGGGTGACTCTCCCCAGCGCACCTTGGACCCCTCCCTCCACCCCTGTCCCACTGGGGGGGGGGGCAGCAAGCAATGGCAGAAGGTGATGCCTACTCAGGGGGCATCACCTCCTCTAATCCCCATTCTTTCAGGGCAGGCTGAATCTCACCTTCTCTCAGTCACACACCTGTCCCTGTCCCTGCCCCTGCCATGAGTGACTCCGCTGCTCTTGGCGATCCCCACTTACCCGCCCCCGCCCTCAGCATAGTGATACTGGGATCCCTCCAGAGACTTAAGGGCAAGCTCATAATTCTTCCAATCTCCTTCACCCACCTTCACAGACTTCATTTAGCAGGGGCTACAAAACAAGAACATTTATTGAACACCTACTGTGTGCCACGTGCTGTTCTAAGTACAGGGACATAGCCCTGCCCTTGTTCTTTTTAATGGAACTGACACCCTTTGATGAAGGGGGTGGATAATAAACTGAGGTACAAATAAACAAATAGGGTGATCTTAGTGGCAAATGCCCCAAGATAAATAAAGCAAGGTGATGTCACAGTGGGACAGTGGTGCTATCCTAATTAGTCTCATCTCAGACCCCAGAGGAAGAAGGTATGGACAGGCAAGTGGAAAGACATTTTAAGACATGAAACAGTGATCTCTCCATGTCTGGATTGCATGGTTCCTGTCTCCAGGGAGGGCTGGGCGGAGCAGACTGCCTGGGAGAATCCCAGGAGGGTTCCTGAATGCAGTTACCCCACCGGGCTCACTGATGTCCCTGTGAACAAGGATCTCGATAGCTAGTGGTCACCAAGTGCTTGCTGCGTACCAGTCACAGTGCCAGCGCACAAGCCCTTCACCATCCAACTCCATCCCACCAGGACCTTTAAAGAAACACACCATCATTCTGAAAGAAGATGAAGGTCTCCAGCATCCGCTCCTTGCTGACTGACAAGAGAAACTGAGGCTCCGTCCTGACCTCTTCTTCACTTCTGCACCTCAATTTAAAATCTCCAGGCATCCCGGGTTGGGGAGCCCTTGAAACACCACCTGAGACACCATACTTGTCGCTCATGAAGTGCTCCCCACTTTGCATACGTGTCCCCCATTCCCTGGCCCCAGCCTCCCAGGAGGCTGTGAATTCCATCATGTCATACTTTGCTTCACTTTACAGATGGAAAAACCCCAGAGCCCCAGGAGGGGTGAAGAGCAGGAAGACAGGAAGTCACAGAGGCAAGGAGAACCCAAGCCTCCTTATCCTTTGCACCCCCACCATCTCTCCTTGGAGAAATCTGTCTGGGTGACCCCTCCCACTCCAGCAGCCTGTGTCACCTGCCTGGGGGCAATCCCAGAGCTCACTGGGCCCCCTGCCAGATGGATCACATAAAACCACTCCTTTATGTTCCTGCCTAGGCTCTGGGCAGACCCTGGGTGATGAGCCCATTTTACAGATGATGACACAAGCGCTCAGAGGATTGGGGCCATGGTTCTGCTGCTGGTCAGAGGGCAGCATTCAGAGCCAGGTTTCCTGTGGCCCCCCACTGGGGCTGTCCACAAGCAGTCTCCAGCTGCCAAAGATCACAACCCTGGCCAAATGCCTGCTTTCCCATGGGCGAAGGGCTCCCCACCATTTACCCACTTCAGCAATCTCCTTGACCCCTCCTCCTGAAGCCAGGAGGCCCTGGGAGGGCAGAGGACACTGAGCTGGGATCCAGAAGGTACCTCTGAACCCGACTCAGTCCTCAGGCACTGGGGAACACCACAACATCCCTCCTGGACAGGGAGGAGTGAGGCATGATCAGATGGTCGCCCCCTCCATCTGTTGCCTGCCTGCCAAGATCAGGGTGACCCAGTCTCCAGGTGGCTTCCATGGAGCCCACACTGTGTCCTCTCTGAGGCCATATTCTCTACGGGGAAGGGGGCTGGATTATTGTCTCAGCAGTCCCAGTGCCTTCCATAGGGGATAGAGATGGGAAGAGGGGGAGAGTCCTCCACCAGGGAGTGGACTGACCCTGGGCTGGGGACTTTTTCCAGGTGAGCCTGTCTGGCAGTAA